TGTGCGGTTGACGCAACGGTTGACGAAGGACTTGGGGTAAGACAGAATCCGGGAACAATGTGCCGGTTGTCTCCGTCTAACATCGCAGTGCTGACGATGAGAAGACTGAGTGATTGCATGCTTTCAAAATGCAAGTTTCTTTACCTGCAGGGGGATGCCGGCTTCGGAAATAAGTACAGTTCGCAGAAAGCTCGTGCTACGTTTTTATTTGCTGCTCCTCTCGCTCCGTACAATACATATAGTGTTCTCCCTAAGCCTTATTGAGCTCAATTGCTCGATTCGTGGCCGCCATATTGAGATGCAGGCAACGGAGGAACTTTTGCTCCCCTTCTTTAGGGACGAAAGTTTCTCCCTTTTTGAGGAACATATGTGTCAAGAGCGTTTCTCCATTTAGGGAGGACTATATTGACCCTTTTTTGTGAGAGTGTAGCCCCGCCATCAGTCTCAGCGCGGATAAGCCTCGTCGCAGAAGGATTTGCGTGCCTCAAACAAACCCTGCATTTGTAACTGCTTTTTCCAGACTGCATTAAGTTATATTCTGCTACCTGAATATCTAGGCACTTGAGTAAAACCGACGATAACATGACGCAGAGTGCGAAAAATGTTGTCTGCAAAAAAAAACAAAAAAATGGGCAGAGCAGCAATCGCTCATGTCCTTGCTTTCCGTCATTGGCGCATCACCTAACTTGCGTCAGCATCGTCGACAGCCCGTCTTGCAACGTCTCACAACGAGTGCGACGTTAGCAAAATAAATCGTGCATCCCTGGTAAGAGACCTTGGCGTCTATGTTGATAGCACTGTATCATTCATTGCGCACGTTTCTAAGATTGTTGGATCAACGATAAAATTTTGGAAATGATCACTTGGTTATCAAGTTCTTTTACTTCACCATTATCTGTAGTGCGTCTGTTCTGTAGCCTTGTACGCTCACGACTTGAATTTGGTTCAATTAGTTGGAATTAACTATATTTAACACAAGTTGAAATGATCGAGCGTCTGCAGAAGATATTTATGCAAAATATTTATGACCAATCCATTGGTCGGAAACTGCTGTTAGTTATAATTTCTTGCTGTCTCTATTTAGTTTTGACAGGCTGTCACGAAGAGGGCTATTAGAGTCATTCATTGTCTTCATAAGGTAGTGCATGGTACTGTTAAAACTGAAAATTTACTGGTGAATATAGACTTTCATGTGCCCTTCAGAGCTAGTTGCCAATTGGTAACATTTTATTTTACTAGAAGTAGTGAATCATCGCCAGTTTATCGTATGCAGTCTGTCTTTAATGTTATATGTGATTGTGACGTAGATATTTTAGAGCGCAGCTCTTAGGCGCCCGTTTCCGGCTTGAGCGGCGTCGGCGTCGCCGTCGCCGTCGGCGTAACCGCGCGGTGCATTATGGGTAAATTTCCCCGCTAAATCTAGCAGAAAAATTTCCCGCTAAATTTAGCGGAAAAATTTGCCCGCTAAATTTAGCGGAAGTTTCCCCGCTAAATCTAGCGGAAAAATTTCCCCGCTAAATCTAGCGGAAAAATTTCCCCGCGAAATCTAGCGGAAAAATTTCCCCGCTAAATCTAGCGGAATATTTTCCCCGCCAAATCTAGCGGAAAAATTTCCCCGCTAAATCTAGTGGAAAAATTTCCCCGCTAAATCTAGCGGAAAAATTTCCCCGCTAAATCTAGCGGAAAAGTTTCCCCGCTAAATCTAGCGCAATAATTTCCCCGCTAAATCTAGCGGAAAAATTTTCCCGCTAAATCTAGAGGAATATTTTCCCCGCTAAATCTAGCGGAAATACTTCCCCGCTAAATCTAGCGGAAAAATTTCTCTTCAGGTCAGGTGACCCCCGAGGTCACGTGACCCCCCGTGGTCACGTGACACCCCCAGGTCACTTGACACCCCCAGGTCACGTGACCCCCACGTGACCTTGGCGAGGGGTCATGTGACCCCTCCAAGGTCACGTGACCACACCTCCCCCCCCCCCCGATAACATGTGAATCTCAGTACCCTTCCCTCCTCCTCCTCCTCAAGAGCTGCGCTCTAATTCGGCGTTACAGGGAGTTGTAAACGGCTTTCATTTTTCTTGATTTTGTTAGTTTCATGTCGGCCTTGAAAAAGTGTATTTTATCCAACCAAGAGTTAGTGTAAGGTTCTATTTTGCCTACAACCTTGTATTTGTGTCCCTACAAATGTGTGTACAATTTTGTGCATGTTTGTATTTTAAATAGCGTTGCTGTAAACACGAAATAACAGTGAACCACACAAAAGGCGTTACAGCTGTTTGTGGACACTAAAAAAAAATATTAATATTATTTAAATAAATATACTAGATAACATAAATAATAAAACATGGAGAAGACGAAACACAGACGAGTCCTCTATATGTTTCATTAATTTTGTTAGCTAGTGTACTTTACCAACACGCTCGTTAGGAACGTTATATAAAAGGTATGGGAAATACAGTATCTTGCGTAGAGTATTTAAGAATGACACAAGTCTGGCTTGAGTTCGATTCGGCCTGTATTTCTTATTTTATTAAATGTGTTCTCTTCTATAAATTCACAGCCCCTTTCTCGACTGTTAACGTGTTCTTGGTCAGAACATTCCTTAACGCGCCGTGTCTATGAAAGTAGCGATAAAGCGCTTCTTCGGGCCAGTCACTCTTCCGTCGCCGACGCAATATGCGTCGGCGACGGAAGTTTGTAGGCAGAAGTTCGACTCATTAAACGTTTATTTCAGGTTCTAAATTTATGTGCTCTTTTAATTGGTCACAACATTACACCACGAGGAAAGTGTTTATAAATCAACGTGTTGAAAATTATGTGCCTGAAATAAATACGCTGACAATCCATCCTTAGATACGTCCTGTACGGAATCAAGAACTAATAATAGCATATGTCTTTTGTCTTATACGCACTCACACAACAATTATCTTTGAAGTTACTTAACTATATTGCGCTCCAAGCTAACTATAAGAACTATAGAAATGCATGCTGTGACTACTGGGAAATCGTTTAGAGGTTCCGATGTTCTACTTTTGGTCGGAGTGTCCCCATGAAATAGCAGAAAAGAATGATAAAGTTGTTATTGCGTCGCAGCCGCAAGACGCTTATTATCTCATTATTTTTTAATATTCGAAGTTACTTTTTTTTTCTCTCGACACGCTCCGCTTTGGCGGAAATTAGCGGACGGCGTAAATGTTATAAGTTAATCGCAATGTGGGGACAGTTTAGTGAACTAGAAGCGCCTGCGGATATTTCTGGCTATTAAAAATGAAATGAAATGAGCTACATAAATATATACTGTAAACGACTTAATTTTCGCGAATCGCCTACAATTCGCGATAAAATATGTCCGGCGAGCAATTCCGGTAAAATGTAAACACACTGGAATGTATAGTGAGATCTCATCGGGTCGCGGAAATTAGAACCCGCGAATAATTCTAAAACTTCAGCTTTTACCTAAATCGCGAAATATTGAGCCCGCGAAAACTGTCGTTTACAGTATTTCAGACAAATTGCAAATATGCTTTCAACAAAAACCTTTACGTGATTAGTGTAGACTAAGTTCCATTTTTCCACGTAACACATCACTTGCACTGACTTTCAAACAGCAGCCATTGTTGTGGCCTTGCTGCCGAGAGCGTGCTTCCTGCAATATGCAATCCGCGCCCTTTGAATTGGTTTAGTTGACAGGCACATGTGGGAATGTTCACCAGCGGGATGCAATAACGTAACGTCCAAGCTGTGAAAAATGTAAAACAAGTTTTACTTTTTTTTTCTTTTTTTTGTAATTGCGTAATATGCATTTTTATACAGCCGGAAGTTAGTCAGCCTCAACGCAATGCAAGTGCCGTTCCACAGCTGGATTGTGACATTTCACGTGCACCTTGCAGTAGTGATACACGACTGCACGCCGGTACGGTGCTTATCCGGATCGAAATAACAAGTGTCGTGTTTTATGCGCTTTTCTTCTTTTAAGGCGCATTTGCAAAAGTCAACTAAAAATTGAAGAATATTTGAAGTGAAATTTGTTCCACGCTTCTTGTTTAGAAACAAGTGTATATACTTCATGGAAACCGCAAATATGGCTTTGTTAAAACCACATCCGCGATTTTTGTGTATTAAGCTCCGCACACGTGGTTTATCGTTGTTCTAAATGGCATGGAAGTTTTTTGTCGTGCTCCTGATTACGTGCTTTTTTCAGCTGCTTTTCTGAACTTATGTTTTATCTTTTATAGTTGCCGTGCCCTCTGAGACGGTTCTGTAGGTACACTGAATTATTTGTTTTTTTATTATTTGTAATAATGTCTCGTATCTACCAAACAATAAACTACGCACTTCTAAATTAACTTTTTGAAGTCATGAGAAGTCGAATATTGCCCCGCACACGGTTCCTTTGGCGTTCACATGACATCTATATAAAGTAAGAAGTTTTCTTTTCTTTTTTTCCCCTTATAGATATTCCTCTGTGGACCGGATGACTGTGGCGTTGCTTTTTTCATAGACTGCTGCTCCTAAGTGAACTCCTAAATGACTGAAGTAAAGATTAAACATACTAAAATTCTAGACTTTTTTGATAATAGGTAAAAGGGATGGAACTGAATCAACGGGAATACACTGTAAAGCATTAGGGTACCCATATCAAAGTCATTCTATAAAAGTCCATAAACAAAAAATTCAGAAAAGTAGCGAGCTGGCTTACGAAGTCCCACCCCCTCATTCACCCGTCTACATGAGCTGCCATTTGTAAGCAAAATGAACTGCCCGTTATATCTACAACGAACGTGGGATTTCACATTTTCATGAGAACTTGCAACCTTATCAAGAAAAGGTTATACCAAAGGAAACATAACTTCTGATTATCTGCAAGTGCGTAAGACCTTGTCAATGATCAACGACGAGCGAGAAAGGTTTTCGTCTTTTTCAAATGTCATACATTGAAATAGTATATATACGGCCGGCGAACGGTCTTTGCTATATCTCTCAAAAAAAGAACACTGACCATGGTTCTTCTGAAAGTATTCTTCGTGCTTTGCGCCGTGGCCTACGGTAAGTTTTCTGACCGAGCTGGAACGCGAACCTTTTTTCTTGATGTGTTTCTTTGCTTCAATTTCTCAAATAGACAAACAAAAACCATATATCTGTCATTTTATGCTCACGTCCATAAAGCGGTTTATAGACTGCTAGAGTCAGTAGTCAGACCTTATTGACCTTTAATGACCACGAGTAGCATTTTTACACAGGTTTCTTTATGTTTAGTGTAATCGAATCAGTCGCTAGTGTGGCGGAGCACTAAGGGGCGTTTCTTTTGATTAAACTTAAACTGATTAAATAAGGAGAGGGCAAAAATTATGAAGACGAAAAGCAAAGGATCATAGAGGCGAGAATGCACACTAAAGACGGTGTGTAACAAAGACGAACAGCCAGACATGGGCGCTCGGGAAGAACGACGCCAAACAAGACTAGGGTGCTAAGTCTTGGACTTTTCGTTGCAGACAGCGTTTTACTGTGTTTGCTTTACATCATTACAGAAGGTGTAACCTTTTTGTTGAAGGCTAGCAGAACGCGATTAAATTATACCTGCTGAAAAATAATAATAAAAAAAACAAATTGAAATACTTATCCAGCATATTAATCTCCAGCTATCACCTGATGGCAATATCCTAATTTACTGAGTCGGCAAGAACGATGGCGTAGACTGTAAAAATGTACTCAAAATATGTTGTAAACAATTACTTATTCAATTGCGTGAGACGTAGGGCAGTTCACTTTACACATTGCACTGCTAACCTCTGCGTAGGCTCGAGAAGTATAAAAATGCCTACGCATTTTGCCATGCACTTTTCCATGCAAAAGGTGATGACGCTGACTGCAGTTTTTGAACAAAAATTTAAGATATAAAACTGGGAACGCAATGAAGAAGAAAAGAAGAGTTCATTGCCAACATGTTTTTTTCTTGTATGATGGGTAAAACGTCAAATTAAACAAAGAAGTGTGGAAGTAATGCCTCAAAATATTGGTTCAAAAACGAAAATCTGACAGGCACAGTTGTAATTTCTAAACTGTTTACTGCAAAATGTAAAACAAAATCACGTCGATGACTCTCTTCCACAAAGCACGCGAGAGCCCATTCACTGCATTTTGCCTAGCGTTCTCTAGCGTACTCAGGGCCAACTGAGCATGATAAACCTCAAATTGATTTTCATCTGGTACATAGCCATTTTGAAATAACTTGTTGTTTTACTTCGTTAATAATTGTACAGACATACGCTCCATGGTAAACAACACGAGTGTAATTACATGCATATTTGTTAACGGTGAATAACTACGTGGTTTTGCACTTTTGCCAATATTTAAATGTTCTTGGAGTCCTTTATTTTTGGACATTCATATGAACTCATAATCTAAACTGAGACAGATTTAAAGATAGCCGACGCATTTTGTGTCGTTTGGTTTGTTATTATATTTCTGAGTGTCTTGCGATTTAGGTTACGCTGTTCCCTAACCAGCTCGTCTGCTTGCCTTCGCTTCTTGACACCCTTAAATTTATTATATTTTGAAACGGGTGAAAAATAAAAAGAAACACGCGCTTGTGCCGGATAAATAATAAAAAAAAACACTCGGGGAATATGCATATTTAAAATTGTTCATAGATGCTTACAGTAGCAGAAACCTAACTTAAGTTTCGTAATCGTGGTCGGTGATAATCAATCACATAACGATTTTAGTGTTTTTTTACTCTACGGGAGGAGAGCGTTGAAGCTCAGTCAAGTGCGAAAGCGAGGTTGGTAAAAATGCAAAAAGGATGTACTATAAGCAGGGCAGCTGTGAAATCGCGATGTGTTACTGCATCATGTCTAGAAACACTAATTTATAAAGGCAACGTATGTGCCTCAACGCATGGCATTGAGGCAATATCTGGCGAATATATTTTTGTTGTGACTTAGATGGGATTGCCTATTCACGGAAATAACAACGCATGCCTATTTTCGACTGCAGTAGCCACTTATATCTACCAGATAATCTGCTCCAGCAGCTGAAAAATTTAGACTTTAAAACATTGACAGGGAAAGTTACAAGGAACCATAAAGCCTCTCTGGTTTTTGGTGCTACCGTTTTATGACATGTGTGAATAGGGACGTTTCTTTATAGATGCCTTCCCAGGCATCTATAAAAAAAACTTCCCTAACAAGTTGCGTCAGGAGCAGGGTGTCGAACCGGAACCGGACCGAAAACCGGAACCGAACCGGTATTTTTTCCGGAACTGAACCCGAACCCGAACCGTTATATTGTTATCGCGATGAACCCGAACCGGAACTGAACCGGAAAAAAAATAACGGTTACCGGCTCATGTCAAAACGGTTCGGCCACGCGCTGTTCACAATGAATGTGCTATCAATGCCATTTGTTTTTAAGTGCCGTCAACTGACACACACCTCGCTTACATATCTTTCTTCTCCACTCAGTCTTAGGAATATAAACGCTGCATCCATGAATCTTGACAAACGCTGCATCTATGAATCTTGACATAGGAACCAGTATTGCGCTGGTCGCGGCTTGCACGGAAGAAAGAGAATTGGAAGGAAAAAAAAAATCGCGTTACGGGATTTCATTTTTCTACAATCTCGTAAATCCTAAATGCTGCTGTGGGCTCATTTCATAACACGTTACTAGAACGCGCGAGTTCTTGAGGCTTGCTTCCATCGGAGTGAGAAAATAAAAGGCTGTGGAGTTTGATAATAATGCATCCTGTTTCGTATAGGCACTTAGAAGCTAACATATTTGTGAGACAGCGAACTCTTCTATTTTAATATTTATCCTATTACGTCCTTCTGGAGTTGCGTTCGGTGAAGTGCTTTTCATATTCCGCATCTTGTTTAATGAAAACTTCTTTAAGGGTCTAATTTGAGTTACCAAAGGCTAGTTCAAATAAAGAAAGCTGTATTTTCTCCCCACTGTTCCTTCAATTGCTTACACGCCGAGGTGGCGGGATAGTTAGCGAGTTCTACTTGTAAGTGGGTTTGTAAGGAGGTCGCGGATTTTACAGCTACTGCGTCGGACCCAATTAGATGAAGTCCAAATGCGTAAACGTCGGTGAGGTAACCTTTGAGTGCACATAAAGAAACCATTCCTGGTAGAAATCCCTGAGCCTTACACTACGATGTATCCCGTTTCGTATGTGCTGATTTCAGATGTTTTATTTGTTATTTATTTTGATGTTGCAATTTGTCATTTATAATTTCCGAACCGGTTCAGCGCCCCGAACCGGTTCGAGAACCGGTTCGCGGATCGAATTAATCGAACCGGAACTGAACCGGAACAAAATAAACTTACCTCAACCTGAACCGTAACCGAACCCGTATTTTTTTCGGTTCGACACACTGGTCAGGAGGCCTAGTGTACGGAGTGGGATGTAATAACAACAGCGTTTTCAGCGCTTGTTTATGCTACATGAAAGGGAGCAGAGCTCATGAGTTATGTCGCACTGATTCCTTTTAATCTATATTATGGTATTTTATAAATGAGAATACAATCAGTTTTCTTCAAACTATGATACAGTATTGAAATTTTGAAGTGTGTGGTGGTAATTTATTTTTTAACGCAAATTTTATGTTCAAACAGATTGCTACTTTTCAACCAATGCACTTGCTTTAATGTTTTTTTGTTTTTTTTTTCAGGGACGTCGTTGGACGCAAACCTCGATGGCGATGCAAAAATGAATAGTGCAATGTCGCGAGTAAGAATAAAACGTGAGTATTTATTTAAGCGTTAATTTGCTTACTGGTTACGTTAGAGCTCTTTCGCAAAAACAAAAAGGTGCAGCTTTTTTAATATACTGAGTTTACGATATAATTTGTAATCTTGCCTTAAACAACACAAGTTTTGCGTTAATACTTTATATCCAAGACATGTCTAGTGACACCGAATATTAGCGTCATTAAGGCATGAAGTATGATAGCAAGAAAAAAAATTAGGACGTTTACAACACCCTGTAACACCGGATTAGAGCATAGCTCCTGAGGAGGAGGAGGGAACGGTACTGGAGGGGGTATACCCCTCCTCCTCATCATCCGTGCTACACCTCCTCCTCCTTCAAGCTCCACCCCTCCTTCTACTCCACCCGCCCCTTCTCCTCCCCTTCTGCTCCCCTCCCTTTCGTCCTCCTCTCCCTTCCCTCCTTCCCCCTCGTCCTCCTCCTCCCCCTCCTCCTCCCCACGCGGTGCATTATGGGAGATTTCCTATAATGCACCGCGCGGTTACGCTGACGCCGACGGCAACGCCGCTCAAGCCGGAGATGGGCACCTAAAAGGTGCGCTCTAAAACACCTTGCTGCAGAAACAATGGATGGGTAAATATCCTGTTTTAACCCGATGCCGCTCATATCTTTTTATTCGGCCACTCAAGTTTACTGAGAGTAGTGTTGTGGGGACGGATGGACGAGAAAAATATTATCGAGCAGGCTCAACTGCTGAAGAATTTCTCTAGCCAAGATTTATTCTAATAGTATGCTCCCTCTCGCGTGAACAGTTCGATATTGAGCAGTTTCGCAGAAAAAGTTTATTCGATTAGTGAGACATTTCATGTATTCCAAGCAAAATTGTGGCCCAGTTGGATTAATCACTACCTGAGTCAGTCACGACATACCTAGTCACTGTGCCTAGCATTTCCGAATTGCCAAATCTTCCAGGTGTTTCTACTAGAGATTAAATGCAATACCATTATTCTTGAGTTAAACTGAAAATTGCTTTTGGGGGCGAATATTTAGCAAATCCAGCGTTCATATACCACAATGTACAACGATTTCATAACTCACAATGTGAGTTAAACAAACTAAAACAAATGAACTTGACAAAGAATGCTTGCGTACCTAAATGTTACTCAGAAACACAATTTACATGGGTTAAATTATCAGGAAAGTACACGCGCGTACGTTTACGGCTCTAAGGCTCCAAATCGGGGTTGTTTCCGCACGAAAATCATTGGGGTCGAGAAATTACCTAGTTGATCTTTTTTTTCACTTTCTTGCCATAATATCACCCTTAGCAAAAAGAGACCGTACTTCAAACAAAGTTGAAATATATTGAATACGAATATTCATTCTGTATTTATTCTGTATTATTTTGGCCGCATTCGAAATACGCGCGAAGGTATTCAAAATACATTATAAATATGAATCAACAAATATTTTAGATATACCAAAAATATTATACCTTCACACTCAAGATGCATTTGTGCATTAAAAACCGGTGACACAATTTTTTTTTATTTTCGATTTTATCAGGAAATGGTGTCCCTGTGGTATTTGAAGGCACTACTAAATACATCTCACAAAGCTACATTAGAAACAAACACAAACACCATGACGCACTGAGCAGCACATTCACAGACCCGTTGACTGCTCTAGAGCCCTATATAGCCTACATATTGAAGGTAATCATTTTTTCGGTGACCACCTCTGCGCTTATTAAGGTTCCAAGTATTCGATCTTCTCCTCGGGAGTCTGTCAAAGGGGAAACAGTGTTTTGAAGTTGTGGACGATATCTCTCACTAAAAAGCATTGGTACAACTAATAACAATTCGGCGCAGTCCCTAAAACAATATCCACACAAACGGCTCATAAAATACATGGTATTGCTTCTCTGCGTAGCACCACTCAGGACGAAGCGAATCAAGGCAGTTTCTTCACTTAAAAATACTGTAAACGACTTTATTTTCGTGAGGACCTAATTCTCGCAAAGTTCGCGAATCGCCTACAATTCCGAAAAATAGGTCCCGTGAACAATTCCGGAAAAATGTAAAAACATTAAAATCTATATTGCGATCCCAGCGCGCCGCAAAAATTAAAATTTGCGAATTATTCCAAAACTTCAACTTTGACCTAAATCGCGAAATATGGAGCCCGCGAAAAATGAATATTTTACAGTAGTTATTTTGCCTTTCCTTTTTAGTAGTTTACTATTTAATATGGCAGTTACTATCACTATATTAAAGTCACTACTCACATCACGTACAATGGTGAGTATACACATTCAGTGAACTAACATTGTGTTAACAAAACCACGCGAAACGTATCTGTTCACTGCACCTGCTGAAGCTTTCCAGCATCAGCAAATGTTGTGGTTGTAGTTCCCGAACTTCGTTTGTGATTGGTGTGCAAGGAACTGATCAGGTGTGTTCTTGATAGAAAAAAGGAAACAATACCATAAATTGGGCTGATTTATCAGTGCGATGCTGCGCAAATCAATTGACAAACTAATCAAATGTTGTATTTAGGCGCTTCAGTGTACTCCATATCTGCTTGAAGTGAACTTCTAGAAGGGGAGCTTTTCAATATTTTGGTAGCTTAAGTCAAACTACCAAAGTATTGCAGTCAAAAGGTACTTAGAGTATAACACAACAGTATTTACGATTTTCATGTATTTTAAGAGGATTCAGCACGTATTTTTGATTACTACATTTTTTATGGTTGGAGTATATTTTTCATGAATTAAATAAATATTTAAAGAAATATATGTGACAGGTATTTTGTGCCTATTAATTTAGTATTTACATATTTCAAAACGCATGAAGGGAACTTCAAATGTAGTTGAATTTAAGGTATTTTAAAATGATTTTTAGAAGTATATTTCGGTACTAAGTAAAAAGAAAGAAGTTTATATTTTCGGTATATTTTTCGTGTACTTAAAATTATGAACTGTATTTCAAATACACTCAAACTAGAATGTGGTATATTTCAAACGTATTAGTTTTCGCTAAGGGCACGGAAATCTAAATTTTGGAGTGTGTGACGTTGCAGGCATATATTGGTAAACAACAAAACAGAATAAACTAATTATATTACCTTTTTGTATACACCGAAAGAGCAAGGATACGGGGATTTAAAGAAAACTTGGACGCGCCGTTTCACCGAATTGATCCTATGTGACTTCCGTAGTCTTTAACACCGCACTGATCCTCTCGGTTTAATGTGAGATTATTTGCTTGTCTAATCAATTTATGTGTTTTCTAATGAGATAAGTTGGGTGTTTCTTTCAGATGATGCTTTGGCGCTTCACGTCAGAAACAGTTTTTTTTTTTTTTTCAACTGCCAGACATAGATAATCCCCGGATTCTAAACGGTCGTATTTCAGATAATATTTTAGCTTAAAAAAAACGCTTTTATAGTTCAAAACAAAAGCTAGTCACAAGTAATTAAGCCAAAACTTAGTGTGAATGTAAAAAAAAAGAGACAATGTGAGACAGAATAGTTGTTGCCTTCCTGGCTTTGTTGTATTTGAAAGAGCAATAATATTAAGCATTTTAGAGCGCAGCTCTTAGGCGCCCGTTTCCGGCTTGAGCGGCGACGGCGTCCCCGTCACCGTCGCCGTCGGCGTCCCCGTCACCGTCGCCGTCGGCGTAGCCGCGCGGTACATGATAAGTAAATTTCCCCGCTAAATCTAGCGGAAAAAATTCCGCGCTAAATTTAGCGAAAAAATTTCCCCGCAAAATCTAGCGGAAAATTTTCCCAGCTAAATGTAGCGGAACGGTTTCCCCGCTAAATCTAGCGGAAAATTTTCCCCGCTAAATTTAGCGGAATATAGTTTTCGCTAATTTTAGCTAAATATTTTTCCCTATATGGGGGCCAGCAGGAGAAAAGGAGGGGCATAGCCCCCTCTTCGTATCTTCCCCTCCTCCTCGAGAGAGCTGCGCTCTAATTCGGCGTTACAGGGAGTTGTAAACGGCTTTAATTTCTTATCTGTAAAGTTGTCTAAAATATTAAACCGAATAGATGATACACTCTTTAAAACCAGCCCTGTTTTCCAGGTGAAATATATGTTGGAAGTTCAGCTGAACTTGAACTTTACATTCTTTATAGTAAAGGGCACAAGGAACGTCTAACGAAAAAACAAAGTGTGCTTAAATATTTACGCAAGTTTGTGGAAAAGGTAAGTAAATTTGGGTAAAATTGCAGAAAGGAAAGCGACTTTTCAAATATTGACAGTATGTAGTCGACCTTCTAACGCTCCGTCATTACCTGAATAACACTAGTATAATTAGCTATAAACGGCAAATAGTTTTCTGACACGAGTATTGTTAATTTCGCGAATAATATTGTTGAAAACTCGACTAAAATAAGAGGTGTAAATTTACTTGCGTAATTTACGCTCGAAAAAAATTCCTCTTGGAGACCATGTGACGCTGCCTTGATGGTCGTCCAAAGTGCGGCTGGCCACTATGATCGGGCAAGGTGCTGCCTCCGCGATTGCTAGCACCAGCGCAGCGTGTCCCGATTTGCTATTGTGAGACTAGAAGTTTGGTTGATATTCCAAATACATACACTTCGGATGAAGTCAATGACTACAGATTCGCCCGCAAGACGAACGTCCGAGACTGACTGCGCAGTTCAAGTTTGGGAGTAAAAGGTATGTTGAAGTGTCCTGGCGCAAAACGGCTAGTTTTTTTGGTTGGTTCATTCTTACTAGTCACTGAATGTTCCCACAGTACCAACAAGTTCGTTCCAGTCCGCTTACCAGAAGTGCGGAATTTATCAGTCGACCACTAAAAAACGCCCCCCCCCCCCCTCCCCGACGGGTCGTACACATCGCGACACTGTTAGCGCGAACACGACATCGGCGCATTTTCGCATTTTACTTCTAAATAGTATTAGCGAGCACGAAATTGTATCGCCTACATTATAGAACTAAATGAGCTCTTTCCGTATTAATAATAACTTGGATGACAGCCCTTGGTTTTAAAGAGAACAAAGGGAAAAACCGGCGGTCGCTTGTTCGCGCTAGCAGTGTCGCTCACTGTACCTCTAGGGAATCGATGCGTTAGGACAGAACGAAAAGTTCGTCGTCCTTTTCTAGTTATTTTTTTTTTTTCTAATGAAGGATTTGCTAATCTGGTTTGCCAAAAAGATTTCCGGATCGTTTGGCCGCTCCGGTTGCGCTGGCGCTGCGTTTCGAACTCTACGCCTTAAAGGCTAAGCCTATAACACTCGACTTTGATCTGCTTCGAGTCGAAAAAGAGATACGAGACAGTGAGGATGAAGTCACGCGCTGTTCGGAAGGAAGGAAATAACTTTAATAAAAACATATCTGTGTCCCTACAGACCAGGAAAGTGAACTGCAAAGCTCGCACCACAACAAACGCGACACTATACGCGCTTCGTTTCGGCCGCACAGGGCAGTGCCATATTGGGGATCGCGACTGTTGCGCCACGACTCGGTTCTGAGGCGAAGCTTGGAAGTTTCTATACTATGGGAATATTTAGTGGCTCTAGTTCTCACAGGAGATTGAGATGGTTGCGGCGTTTTCGTTGGCGAAGCTAGCAACATCGGTGACGCGGACGTTTGTCACGTCTTCGTTGTCAATGCAGTTTTATCAGCGATTGACCGTGCAATCGCTGTTGACGTCGTGACGCACATATCGAAGTTTGCGTCCCATACGGCGTCTTCAGCAGCAGCAGTAGAGAACGTTTTCTTCATCGGCAGTGGCATCCTGTGACACGCGGTTCCCTCCTCAGATGTCGTTTTCCAACGATTAAAGCAAAAATACTAAAGACAGCTTGTTAGATCACGAAGCGGCGGCAACCAGCACCGTTCGGGAGGCAGCCAGCTTGCCTGAAATGCTTTTAGCCCAGCCTTATATATCTTGTTTTCGTAAGTGTTCCCCCTCTGTCGTTTTATTTCATAGCGATTACCCAATTGCTTCCAAATACGGGATAGCTTGGCAAGGAATAAAAGGAACATCTTAAAGAGAGTACCAAAAGTTCAGATTCCCTCATACGCCACGCCCGAATAAAGTCTTAAAAGAGAAACTTACGTACCTGTGCCCGTAGCTCGGTTACTGTTATTGCGCTAGCTCTCATAATGATTCTTCGTGCACGCGCGCACAGGACTTCATTCATCTCGGGGATCGGGAGTGCGCATTCAACGGACTGTGCTTTATATATATTTAAAATAGATTTTTCAATGACAGCTGTAATATTACAGGTGGATATAAATCTAAAATTTCCGATGTTTTCCTTGTTATCCGTCGCGTTTTTACGCTTGACGTGTTGCAGAACAATAAGGATACTTCTCGAAAGGTAAAATGAGGGCGCTGCAGCTCAATGGCCCGCGCCACCGTATGCCTCTTCATGGTGGCCACGGACCCGCCGGTAGCGGCGCACGTAACCAGGCCAGGCGGTGGTCTGAAATTTTGATTTGGTGCCGCTAAATGGCGCGGCATCGTTAAAAGAAGTCTATGCGGAGAGCAAGGCATCTGCTTCTTGCGCAAGGGTTGCAGTGACGTCTGAACGACGTCGTGTTATGATTGGCTTTGAATGGAAGTATAGTGGGTAGAACTCAATGCTAGATGCCTTGAAGTCTACCCACTATTTTTTTTTTCAATAAGCCAATAAGAGCTTAGATTTCTGACATCGTCGAAAGCCACGTGCAAGAAGCAGTCAAACTTGCGCTGCGCATTACCTCCAGTCCAATTTTTTTTTTTTTCTAATATTCATTTTGAAGACAATTCAGTGTAACTTCTGGAGCATAGGTATTGTTTACAACGTTAAAGGGGGGGGGGGGGGGTTCACGCGACACGGCCCAAATTGCTCGTGCAAAGAGTCGGTACCGCGTAGAAAAAAGTTTGGGGCAACATTGGTCTCTACCAAAGCGCCTAGCTGGGAATGTTAATAGAATCGTTATAATAAGGTTCTCAATTATTTGACGTAATTACAATGTATATTAGTAAGTGAAAAATCATGGCTTAAGTTAAAAACTATCTGGGCATAATTTAAAACGGTGAAATACGCGCACGTTACAAAAATGTAAGGTACGCGTAATACTTCTCGATGTTCAACCCCCCCCCCCCCCCTGCTCCATAAACACTCACTATAGACTCGTTTTTAAGCAGTCTTAGGTAGTAACGCGTTACTAGTAACGCGTTACCGTAATTTCCTTACTTTTTGGTAACTTGTAACTGTAACGAGTTACTTTTTAAAAATGTAACTTTTAACTGTAGTTCTATTATTTTTTCTGAGGTAACGATGAAAGTAACGACGTTACTTTTGTCGCTACTTTGCAGTGTTTTATGAATAATATATCACTGAACGAGTGCAACTTAGCCATTCTTTGTTGCACTTTCCAAATCGTCTATTCCGACATTTCGAGTGTCAAGTTGGCCTTCCACAAAGTTGTGAATACGTTCTTTCTCGCGAGTCACGACCCGAATATAGCCACGTGTAGATTTTATGAAAAAATATCTAGTTATCTTTACGCACGCGCTTGTACTTTGTGCCTGAACACTTACATCTTAGTGTCTTGAAGCACTACCTATGTTGTGTTTTTTCTTTTTTCTGTGCAAACGCTTTTTAATCGGGTGAATCAACCATAAAACAACAATACACGTGAAGGGCACTGCGCATGTCTCGTATTCTGATTAGCGCCACTACTCCGCACTGCGCATTTTTCGAATTTTGATTTGCGCCACTACTCTGGCGTGGAAACTTTCAAACAATAACTTCGAGAAGCAACTGCTGCTAAGTTAGAATATGAGGCAAAAAGCGTACTTTTTTATTTTATGCAATAAAACGTTGTGAAGGGCGTTTTTTAGTTTTTTCTAAATTTTTTTTTGTGTTATAGAAAAGTAACTGAAAAGTAACGTCGTTACTTTTTAAAAGTGACTGTAACTGTAACGAGTTACTCTTTTGTTCCGGTAACTGTAAAGGTAACTTCACTACTTTTTTCTGAAAGTAACTGTAACTGTAACGAATTACTTTTTAAAAGTAACTTACCCATGACTGTTTTTAAGTGATGGGTTTCCCATCAAACTGCATCTCCGGAGCTGCGGTTAGCTCTCTGCGGTCGATATCGCGTACCCACCGTGTTGCCGCTTCCTGGAAAGAAGGTGTAACTCGAGCCGGCGAAATAAAACGCTGTGCTGTTTAAATAACCTCGAGAAAATAATATTTGATTCTTGAATTCACCTCCCTCTTGAGAATAATGCTTGGATGCGCACAATGGTTGCGCGCTTGGGCACCTTTGTACTAGGACTGCAGGCACGAAAACACGTTTTGATGGGAAACCGAAACTTCAAGACTCGTCCAAATGAAGTTGTTGTTTGTTCGAAACGCCATAAAAGGATGCATGTGCTTGACATCTTGTAGTGTGCTGATTTAAAAGTTTTCTGTTATGTCTGCAATGTTTTTGACAAAAACCATACCTTTGCATTTAGACATGAAAAGCATAATTATTCGAAAGTAAAAAAAAAAAAAAAACTGATTAACCCAAAAGTTAATTTTATGTACATGCCCACTGGCAGTAACCAAATTATAGTAACTTCTTTTCTGTGCTACGCGTACCTTTCGCAAGTGGGATTTGGCCCGCGCTTCGTGAAACATCCTGTATACAAGATACGCGTTTATAACCCGATACGGTACCTTGATGTGAGCTTTTTCGAGTCTAAAAGCGAGCTGAGTTTCATCAGTGCCCCGATGCAGACTACGTCAGACTACGTTTCCTCTATGTAGGCGGTATTCCCATGATTCATTTGAGACGAACCTTGTGCCCTTATTTGGTCCTCGGTCGATGCAGAACGAGCGCCACCTTGCTTCTCCGTCCCTGTCAAAACGCCGTTCTCTTTTCGGGCGTCCGATTGGCACAACGAACAGGCTGGGCCTTAGTGGGCTGCATACCGCCACTGTTCAGCGATATCGCCTCCAATCTGCTCTTTTTTTGCGTGTGTGCGAGGCAGTGCGAAAAGGACCGGAATTCTTCCAACTTAATTCGCTGGATCTTGAGAAAGTAATACCATTGCCTTCCCTGCGTGCTAGCCAAACACAAAGAGTTACTAACATATAGGCGACCTAGAGCTCTCAAGGTGATTGACTGATTGGCCTTTGTTTCCATGGCAGTCCAACATTTTAGAATTATTCCTCCGCCCAGCCGCTGCTTATGCAAAACAATCTGTGTCTTTTATTCACGTCTTAAAATCGACAGCTTTAGGAGGTGGTTGCATGCATGAAGGACTATCACTTAAAGATTATATATAATTAATATTTTTTACCCAGGCGTATTTTATTAACAAAGAAAACCTTCGGGAAAGTTCAAGCTTGCAAATTTCTTTGAATTTTATTTATTCAAGTATTCGGTACTTTCAGAGTTCGTTACAAGGTTCTCAGAAAGTAATTATTCGAAAGATATCAGCTAGAGCAAGATTTGTGGACGCATTTATGTGTATTAGAAGAATTACATGCATTTATGCACACCGAGAAGGGCAACCGCAGCGGAACTGCTGCCGTAGTTAAGTTTTTATATGTTCAAGCTGAGCGTATCTATAAAAAACGTATGGGGGAAAAATAGCATTTTAAATTTCCTGGATTTTTTTTTTTTTTTCAGATCAATGAGATATTTCGAACTCAGAAACGTATACTCGATGTAACTTTCACACTCCTCAGTGCCTCCCTGTGGGAAGTAAGTGTGTTCTGTTTTAGTATATTGTTCTTGTTTATAGTATTGATTTTCTGCAGCCAAAGATGACCCCCTTGTATGCTGAGCAGCTGAAAACAAAACTGAAAAAATATGCCACGAAATTAGAGAATTCCTGGAAGAAAAAGCACCCCAGTGAACCCATTAGTGCTTTTCTTTTTCTGACCACGTGAGTTGATAATTATTTGCTTTCTACTTTATTTGCAACGCATACTAATGAACTGAAACTAAACAGCTTTCCAACGAAAAAAAAACAAGAAATAACAATTTTTTTTAATATTCCATAAAACATATGTAAAAATAATATAGTCTTGCCCTGAAGATAAGTTGATAAGTTCTAGCTCATAGAAAATTTGAATAAAACAAAGAAGGAATTAAAAATGAATTAAATTTGTTTTTGTGGGTGCGTCAAATTTGCAGTGCACCATAGGTGCTCATTAAAATAAACTTCGGACGGCAATGAACAAAAGCGCTGGGCAGCTTTTCTTTTTTTTTTTTTATGAGAACATGTAATATTGCATACTCTGATTTTATACGCTTCTCTGCGGACTGAAGTTTTGGTTGTTAGTTGGGGAGACAAAACGATACATTATCTCTAGTATCTGTTCGTGGGACAATATCTTATATCACGATCCCGTTCTATACGAAAAAAAAATGAAAGTCGTTTACAAATCTCTGTAATGCGAAAATAGAGCACAGCTCTTAAGGACGAGGAGGGGAGGGTACGGAGGGGAAGGTACACCCTCCTTCTTCGTACCCTCCCCTTAACCCCTCCCCCTCTCCTCCCCCATTCCCTCCTCCCCCTTACTTCTCCAATTCAGTTCCTCCGCTACATTAAGTGGGAAAATTGACGTCACATGCCTTCAACACCTATTGAATTTACCATTTAGCGGGGAATCGAATCGGTATTGAGATCACGTGACGTCAGTTTTCAGGCTAAATCTAGCGGAAAAACTTAACTCTTCAACTAAATCTAGTTCAAAAACTGAATTTTTCCGCTAAATATTGCGTGTAATTGAACTGGTGTGGAGGTGACGTTACGTCAATTTTCCCGCTAAATATGGGGCGGTTACGCCAAAGCTGACGCCGACGCCGCGAAACACGGAAACGGGCGCCTAGTAGCTGAGCTGTAAAAGGTTTTCTGAATGCAATAAACCGTTTATGGCATGTTATTTGCCTTTGATTTGAACTGGTCGAGTCCCGCAATGATTAAACCAAGCCCAGTAAAACAAATGCACCTTCTGGCAGACAGGAGGTGTGGGACACTGTTGCCAATTTTTGAATCTGAAGATAAAAATAGTATATATAATTAGAGACTAATATCTTTACCAACGATACAATGTAAAATTGTAGAGCATAAGTCACAGGTTTTGTTTTATTCTTAGCAGATTTGTTAAAATAAATCCATGAAAGCTACACTTACGCGGTTCGTCTGAGTGAGTTATAGAACTAGGGGACATTATATAGGTTGGTAATTCTTGCGATAAGTCGCCTAATTATTTAAAATTCTTTAATTAACCTTTTAATTAGGGAAAATAGACAGTTGGTTCTAATAATAAACTTGCTGGGCGCTATCGAAATCCACTAAATTCGTTTTTTTCAGAAAGACTTTCAGCTCGAGAGAAGCGTAACAGTGCTTTAAATTTAAATATTTAAATGTTATTAGCTATAAATATGACCATCACTGTCCCTGTAGTATTCAACATGGCCTTCGGAAAAGTTTTTCGTACAAATCCGACCTTTCTGAATTTGCTACTTTTTTTCGCGACAAATTCCATGCTTCTAAAGCTACTGACGTAATTTTCTTTGAGTTTGCTAGAACCTTCGAAACCGTGCCCCATAAACGTTTACTCAATAAGATAAATCAGCTCAACATTCATCCCGTTATCATACAGCGAATCGCTACTTGCTAGATCCTTCGATACCGCGCCCCATAAACGTTTAATCTATAAGCTAACTCAACTCAACATTCATCCCGTTATCATACATCGAATTGCTACTTGTTAGATCCTTCGCTACCGTGCCCCATAAACGTTTACTCTATAAGCTAAATTAACTCAACATTCATCCCGTTATCTCATACAGCGACACGCTACTTGCTAGATCCTTAAATACCGTGCCCCATAAACGTTTACTCTAGAAGCTTAATCAACTCAACATTCATCCCGTTATCGTACAGCGAATCGCTACTTGCTAGATCCTTCGATACCGTGCCCCATAAATGTTTACTCTATAAGCTAACTCAACTCAACATTCATCCCGTTATCATACAGCGAATCACTACTTGCTAGATCCTTCGATAACGTGCCCCATAAATGTTTACTCTATAAGCTAAATCAACTCAACATTCATCCCGTTATCGTACAGCGAAATGCTACATGCAAGATCCTTCGACACCGTGCCCCATAAATGTTTACTCTATAAGCTAAATCAACTCAACATTCATCCCGTTATCGTACAGCGAATCACTACTTGCTAGATCCTTCGATAACGTGCCCCATAAACGTTTACTCTATAAGCTAAATCAACTCAACATTCATCCCGTTATCATACAGGGAATAACTACTTGCCAGATCCTTCGATAACGTGCCCCAAAAACGTTTACTCTATAAGCTAAATCAACTGAACATTCATCCCGTTATCATACAACAAATCGAAACTTGCAATATCCTTCGATACCGTGCCCCATAAATGTTTACTGTATAAGCTAACTCAACTCAACATTCATCCCGTTATTATACAGTGAATCACTACTTGCTAGATCCTTCGATAACGTGAAACATAAATGTTTACTCTATAAGCTAAATCAACTCAACATTCATCCCGTTATCGTACAGCGAAATGCTACATGCTAGATCCTTCGACACCGTGCCCCATAAATGTTTACTCTATAAGCTAAATCAACTCAACATTCATCCCGTTATCGTACAGCGAATCACTACTTGCTAGATCCTTCAATAACGTGCCACATAAACGTTTATTCTATAAGCTAAATCAACTCAACATTCATCCCGTTATCATACAGCGAATCACTACTTGCTAGATCCTTCGATAACGTGCCCCACAAACGTTTACTCTATAAGCTAAATCAACTGAACATTTATCCCGTTATCATAGAACAAATCGAAACTTGCAATATCCTTCGATAACGTGCCCCATAAACGTTTACTCTATAAGCTAACTCAACTCAACGTTCATCCCGTTATCATACAGCGAATCGCTAGTTGCTAGATCCTTCGATACCGCGCCCCATAAACGTTTACTCTATAAGCTAAATCAACTCTACATTCATCCCGTTATCATACAGCGAATCGCTACTTGCTAGATCCTTCGATACCGCGCCCCATAAACGTTTACTCTATAAGCTAACTCAACTCAACGTTCATCCCGTTATCATACAGCGAATCGCTAGTTGCTAGATCCTTCCATACCGCGCCCCATAAACGTTTACTCTATAAGCTAAATCAACTCTACATTCATCCCGTTATCATACAGCGAATCGCTACTTGCTAGATCCTTCGATACCGCGCCCCATAAACGTTTACTCTATAAGCTAACTCAACTCAACGTTCATCCCGTTATCATACAGCGAATCGCTAGTTGCTAGATCCTTCCATACCGCGCCCCATAAACGTTTACTCTATAAGCTAAATCAACTCTACATTCATCCCGTTATCATACCGCGAATCGCTACCTGCTAGATCCTTCGATACCGCGCCCCATAAACGTTTACTCTATAAGCTAAATCAACTCTACATTCATCCCGTTATCATACAGCGAATCGCTACTTGCTAGATCCTTCGATACCGCGCCCCATAAACGTTTACTCTATAAGCTAAATCAACTCTACATTCATCCCGTTATCATACAGCGAATCGCTACTTGCTAGATCCTTCGATACCGCGCCCCATAAACGTTTACTCTATAAGCTAACTCAACTCAACGTTCATCCCGTTATCATACAGCGAATCGCTAGTTGCTAGATCCTTCCATACCGCGCCCCATAAACGTTTACTCTATAAGCTAAATCAACTCTACATTCATCCCGTTATCATACCGCGAATCGCTACCTGCTAGATCCTTCGATACCGCGCCCCATAAACGTTTACTCTATAAGCTAAATCAACTCTACATTCATCCCGTTATCATACAGCGAATCGCTACCTGCTAGATCCTTCGATACCGCGCCCCATAAACGTTTACTCTATAAGCTAAATCAACTCTACATTCATCCCGTTATCATACAGCGAATCGCTACTTGCTAGATCCTTCGATACCGCGCCCCATAAACGTTTACTCTATAAGCTAACTCAACTCAACGTTCATCCCGTTATCATACAGCGAATCGCTAGTTGCTAGATCCTTCGATACCGCGCCCCATAAACGTTTACTCTATAAGCTAAATCAACTCTACATTCATCCCGTTATCATACAGCGAATCGCTACTTGCTAGATCCTTCGATACCGCGCCCCATAAACGTTTACTCTATAAGCTAACTCAACTCAACGTTCATCCCGTTATCATACAGCGAATCGCTAGTTGCTAGATCCTTCCATACCGCGCCCCATAAACGTTTACTCTATAAGCTAAATCAACTCTACATTCATCCCGTTATCATACCGCGAATCGCTACCTGCTAGATCCTTCGATACCGCGCCCCATAAACGTTTACTCTATAAGCTAAATCAACTCTACATTCATCCCGTTATCATACAGCGAATCGCTACTTGCTAGATCCTTCGATACCGCGCCCCATAAACGTTTACTCTATAAGCTAAATCAACTCTACATTCATCCCGTTATCATACAGCGAATCGCTACTTGCTAGATCCTTCGATACCGCGCCCCATAAAAGTTTACTTTATAAGCTAAATCAACTCTACATTCATCCCGTTATCATACAGCGAATCGCTACTTGCTAGATCCTTCGATACCGCGCCCCATAAACGTTTACTTTATAAGCTAAATCAACTGTACATTCATCCCGTTATCATACAGCGAATCGCTACTTGCTAGATCCTTCGATACCGCGCCCCATAAACGTTTACTCTATAAGCTAAATCAACTCTACATTCATCCCGTTATCATACAGCGAATCGCTACTTGTTAGATCCTTCGATACCGCGCCCCATAAACGTTCACCCTCTAAGCTAAATCAACTCTACATT